TTCCTGGCTGAACCCAGTACAATATGCAAAAGACTAGGGGACATCTCCAGGGGAGACCATATATCACGTTCCATTACCTGAAGGGGCTACAAGGAAGCTGGGGGGGACTTTTTACAAGGGCCTGTAGCGACAGGACAAGGGGTAACATTTAAATTGAAAGTGGGGACGTTTATATCAGGAAGAAGTTCTTCCTGGAGAGCGTGGTGAGGCACTGGCACAGTTTGCCCAGAGAAGCTGTGGATGCCCCCTCCCTGGAAGTGTTCAAGGCCAGGCTGGATGAGGGCTTGTGCAACCAGGTAAGGTGTCCCTGCCCATGGCAGGGGGGTTGGAACTAGATGGTCTTTAAGGTCCCTTCCAACCCAAACCATTCTGTGATTCTGTGATAAGGTTAAGTTTAAAGACAGCAACCACAAGTTAAGGTCTATCTTAAAAACTTCGGTGTAAAATCTGTTGATTAGATTATGTAAAGCAGCGGGCAAAAAACTTGCATGGCCTGTGCTGCTTGAAGTAATTTAAGCCTTTTGCTGACTTTGCGTCTGTGCTTTACTGAAAAGTTACTCCTAGTTGCAGCCAAAATGTAGTATCAGTACTGGGGACATGATAAGCTGCTAAAATGTAATTTTATCCAGTACTGCAAGTTCACTAAGTGTTCTAGCACTGCATATGTATTTCATGCTGAATCTGTACCACATCTCACAAGTATAATTTACATGATGGAAATAAAAGCCTGGTTGGGTGTTGTTCAGTTTTGGGGTTTTTTTCCTTTAAAAATGAAAGTATCAATTCTGCTAAATAGAAAAAATATTTAGAAGAAATACTAGAAAAAAGTTCTCTGCATGGTTGGGTGTTACTTATCTCTCAAATAGGGAGAAAACTGTTTGGGATCTTCTCATCGTTCAGTATTAACTTTTTGTGAATGATCACATGATCAAGAAATGTTAGAGGCTGGATCAAGTCCCAGCTGAACTTTGTGATTTAGTCTCTGAAAAGTGTCTCTGAGGCTTATGACATGAACTACTGGTTATCATAAAAATCACTGCTTCATTTGTGTTTTACTGATACCAACTTCTGTGCATGTGCTTCTATGAATCTAGGAATGGTGTCTGTCCTGGATTTGATGCAAGGTGGTTTCCCTTCACGAGCTTCATTTCATGAACTGTATAATATGTACAAGAAATACTTGCCTGAAAAATTGGCTCGATTGGATCCTAGGCTCTTCTGCAAGGTAAGAAGAATTAATTCTTCCACTTTATCATCCAGGACATAAAATGTATTTTTGGGGTTTTTTGTGTGGATTTTTTTAACTTTATTTTGTGGGTTTTTTTTGAAGGAGCCAGAATATAATCCTAAGTGTTTTCTGTATTTCAGGCACTATTTAAAGCCTTAGGACTGAATGAAAATGATTACAAATTTGGGCTAACCAAGGTGTTTTTTAGACCCGGCAAGGTAATGTTTCTCTTGGAGACCATGAATGTGAATCCTAGAATAATTTTGGTTGGAATGGTCCTCTGAAGGTGACATTGCTCAACATGTTGCTAAAAATGTGGCCAACTGAAATAACATTGCCCAGGGATCTTTGTAAATACTGTTCATTTTCTGTGAAAAAAATCAGTATTAATACTGTTATCATTGGTTTTGTAGTCTTGTTACTAATGCTGCTGTACTCCTACTGCAATGTCTCTTTTCCCAGACATTCTACTAGTCACTTAAGATTCATGTTGACTGCTAAAAGACCAAGTCAGAGCAAAGAAAAAATATTTTCTGGTGAAACCTATTTATAGCTGAAATCTCTTCCTGTGATTCTGAGCACTGCATTGCTGCTGTGCAGAGAAAGGTGATGAGCTGTCGTGACCAGAAAGGACAATTATTGTAGTCCCAGAAGAATGTTCTTGCTGTCATAATTACTGAACAGTAGAAGTGCAGCATTTTCAGAAGAGGTTGCCTTTAGTTGCACTCCTACACAAAGGTTAAAAATTGAAAAGTGCTTTCAGGGTTTTTATTTTTTCCCAGATACAGAATTGGAAGTGTCTAGAAGTTGTGGAAGGCCAGAGTAGGTGTTCAGCATGTAGAGAAGCAATTAATTTTTAAAAATTTTGGCATTAAGTGTTTGTAGTGATTAATAAATGGATTATTCAAATGCTGTGTTGCATATCAATTAAACGAAAAAATAAACAATCCCTCCCTTGATAGTCATTTCTGTTATCATTAAAGAATAGTGATGCCGGACATACCTGCTCACTTGAATTACTTGAAAGCTGGTATAATGATGGCATGCAGTTTACATTTAAAATAATCTACCTTTTTAACTCAACATGCTCTTAAATAATAATGTCTAGCACTCTGTGTTCTCCTAGTTTATAGAACTTCTTATTTAGTTTGCAGAGTTTGATCAGATAATGAAGTCTGATCCAGATCACTTAGCAGAGCTGGTGAAACGAGTGAATCGCTGGCTGATCTGCAGTCGTTGGAAAAAAGTTCAGTGGTGTTCTCTCTCCGTGATTAAATGTACGTATTTCATGTGTTATTAAATAAAATTGTTTAAAAATATAGCAAAGCGATTATTACCACCTTAAAATGTGGAGCAGGACGTGCTTAGCAGATGATTACGTACTAACGTCTGAGTGATCGCTTTCAAGGTTGGTGAGATTCTCTTGTGCTTTATGTTAGGTACGTATAGGGGGGCTTAAAGCAGAGGTTTTTGAAGGTGGGACATATAGCACACACCAGCCTCCAGTGTCCAGTCTGCTTGGGTGCTTATTGAAGCCTGGGTAAACGCTGGCACTGAAATAACTAGCTATCACAGGTCTTGCAGGGAAGAGACTTCTACCCCAGCAGGAACGAACAGTAGTTCAAGTCTCAGCTGACCATGTGGAGTCATTTGGTTCTGGGAAGTGCCTGCACAAAGGTCATCTCTGGACAGAAACTGCTTGTTAGAAAGTACTGACATGAATTATGGGGCAAATATCTCCATTACTGCTGATCAGAAAATCATAGAATCATAGAAGGGTTTGGGTTAGAAGGGACCTTAAAGACCATCTAGTTCCAACCCCCCTGCCATGGGCAGGGACACCTTCCACTAGACCAGGTTGCTCAAAGCCTCATCCAGCCTGGCCTTGAAGACAGCCAGGGATGAGTGCCTGTCATTACTGATGGCCAGTTTCCAAGTGCTTGGCCTGCCCAGTGTACTGTGCAGAGTAGGAGTGAGGTGGTGTGGAACAGAGATTGGTGGTTGTGGGGTGCTTCAGTGAAGATGTCTGGGAGATGGGGAAAGATCTTCTGCAGAATGTCAGGGATCTGTAATAACACGGAGGGTAGAAAGTATATGTTAAGATGGGGGTGACTCATGCCTTATGGCTGCACATTTGGGCCAGCACAGTTTGTTGCATCTACGTCTGTCGCTGATTGGCTGTTATTTGTTGTTGTTTATACTGGGGCAAACAGGATTTGAGAGTTCTTATCATACAGGTTTCAGACATCAGAAATTGTAACCCTAAAATCATGGTTTTGACCTAGAAATTTATGCTGTTTGTTTAGCTGAGCATTTCCTGCTTGTTAGGACCAGTGACTTCATGCTAAGCTTGCTGATGTCCGTGAATCTGGAGCGTGGTGGTGGGGTGTGCACACTTAATTCTTCCTGTTTGTTTTGGACAGGAGGCAGTATACCTAGCTCAGGATTGTGAATTCTGTCCTCTGCTGTGTTTTAAGTGTGGTTCTGGTATAGATGGAGCTCTCAGGCACATGTAGTCTACATATGGTTTTCAGCCATAAACTGTGTGATACAGGAGTCGTGTTAACTTGTACATACCATTGAGACTCAGTGTCTTCTGTTTGTTTGCAGTGAAAAATAAGATAAAATATCGAGCCAGTGCCTGCATTAAAATACAAAAGACTGTTCGTATGTGGCTTTGCAAGAGAAAGCATAAACCACGGTAAGAGGATACTCCTTGGTTGAAGAAAATTGCGGGTTTTTAAAATATTTTCTTGTGAATGTAAAGAGGAGATTTACTATGCTTTAGCATCATTCTATGGCTTCAGATGTATCGAGTTAAGAACGACTGGAAGAGACTTTTGAGAAGTGCCATGTCGCTCCTCTCTTTCCCAAGGATGAATAGTCTAAATCTGAACTTTTCCTAAGAGATGTTTATTTACCTTATAAAATCCTTGAGTTATAACCTAGTTATTAGAAATCCTTCGTTAAGTCTCTCAAAATGAAATTTAAGCTCATTAATTTGTGTCCTTCACTCATTTGCACCTTTCGTTATTGGCCCCCTTTCTTTTCTATCTTAAAAATAAATGTGTGTTCTGCCTGTCTTGTCTCCTCTTGAAATTAAACAATTCCATTAGCTTTAATATGGCTGTATGGAATACTGATGGAAAAAAATGCTTTGGCCATTAATCTCTGCTGACACCTTTTTGTTCTTTGATAGAGATCCAACTCTCTCTACTTTTAATAGTGGGGTTCTTATAAAACATTTTCTTTTACACATTTTGATGATTATGTTTCATTTTGTACCTTGGCATTTCTGAGAATGTCCCTATATTTTTAAGCTGTTCTGTACTCATCTTTAATGATTTGATTTTGTTTCTGCTTTTTGTGTGTTGCTTTCCTGAATCCCAGTTCAGTGATTTCTTTCTAGGAAGACTGTCTCTGCGGAGTTGGAACTTGCATGTGTGGCCTTCAGTACTGGTTCCTTAAGAAACTCAAAGTTTTCCTGCGCTCTTCTTTTTAAAAAAAAAAACAAAAAACAACAAAAAACCACAAAAAACTGTGGGGTGTAATGACTGGGTTCTCTGCTGTGTATTTGGTTTATCTGCTTTGGTCCCATTATTGCTCTTTGGGTATGTTGCCAAACTCAACCTTTAATCCACTCCAGTCAAAATCCTCTAGTGGATACTAATGATTTGTTATTAAAAAAATACCCACCAACAAAACATATTAATTCTCAAAATCACATTTTTCCATTTTGAGTCACCGTATGCTAATCAGTGTTAATTGTGGTCCCAAAAGGCTCCATTGCTTAATTATTTAATGCGATAATGTTCGAATTTCAGAAAGAGAGGGTGAATTTTAACTCATCTCCCCAATCTACCTCTTTAACCTGAGTGATTAGTGGTGGTTTTAAAAATATGTAAGCTTGTATCAACATTTCCAGATGCAAATAAACTGTCTTACCCTCACAGAATTGATGGCCTGATAAAAGTGCGTACGCTGAAGAAGAGACTTGATAAATTTAATGAAGTAGTAAGTGCTCTGAAGGAGGGGAAGGCAGAGACAAGCAAGCAGGTCAAGGAGCTGGAATATTCTATTGATGCTTCAATGACCAAAATTAAGGTATTGTAATAATCAGAGAAATAGTTTCTTATTACTGGAATCTTAAAAAAAAAAAAAAAATCTGAAGTAGAAGGGCAATATATTTTTCTTAATAGAAAAGACATTTTAATGTAGAGGTCTTTTCAGAGGCACTGGGTAAATCCTGTTTAAAATTATTTGTGAATGTCACTGAAGTGAATCCTGAAACTAGGTGCATACACGTGGACTTTGCTACTATCATGTGCGTGTCAAAATTGCCGCTGGAGAATTTAAAGCAAAATACCATGCTGAAATTGTGAGACAAGTGTTGTTAATTAATCTGCTTGTTGCTTTTAGTATTGGAAGAATACATATTAGCAACGTTTTAAATTGATCATGGCTGAAATGTACAAGCATTTGTCACAGTGTGAAGAGATTTATATTCCAGTTATGAATCTTTTTCAGACTTGGTAGTAAAGAGGATTCAGCTTGCTGATCATGCTTCAGGGTCTGCAGTTCTCATTTTCTTACTACAAATGTACACAGACAGGATGAAAGCATGTTGGGATTTATTAATGAAAGAAAAAAATTAATGTGGGGATTTTTTTGTTTCATGCGATGTTACAGCTTTCTTACTGATACATCTTAAGATTTTTCTATTTAAAATCACGGTTGAAAAGGTGATAGAGTTAACCTGTCAACTTAGACTTCTCTTTTCTAATAAAAAAAAAAGGTAATTTGATGATCGTCATGACACGCCCTCGGAAGAAGTCAGCAAACACACATTGTGGTTTCATTATTACACCGTATATGTAAATTGAAAAATGAGATTAAGTTGTAGCTATCAGTAAGGTTTAAAAAACATATGGAGCAAAGACTATTGTTTTAGGTATTTTCAACCTGTTATTTTCTACTAATACCTTTCTAAAAGAAGTTAGTCATGGTCCAGTACTACTTCTGAGTGCTAGCACGCATATTAGAAGAAACTGTTGGGTGCAGAAGGCAGAGCTGTAACCAACCACTATAGGAGCTAAGAACATGACACAAACGGGATAACGCGAGTCCCTTAGTTTTCATCTTAGCATGGTAAGAATTAATGACTGTTGCTTAAAACTGCAAGACTGAGAAACTGAAGGCATGTTTGAAAGAGGTCATGTTTAATTTCAGTGATAACATGGAAATTACTTGGTGTGGCTTTATATGAGAGAAGATAGTAATGGATCCCCAGGTTTTTAGGAAGGGGAGGATGTGCTCAAGTTCCCACTCCCTGAAGTATATATATAATTTAATTGTACTGCTCAATGCTCTCATTTCGCTTAATATTTTTTCAATATGCATTTTTTAAAAGTGAAGTACAAATGTTAAGGCACATAATCCCCTCTTATTATTTCATTTTGCAGACCACTATAATGACTAGGGAACAGATACAGAAAGAATATGACGCTCTGGTTAGAATCTCGGAGCAGCTTCTGAGTGCACTGCAAAAGAAGAAACAGCAAGAGGAGGAAGCAGAGAGGCTACAACGCATCCAGGAGGAGATGGAAAAAGAAAGAAAGAGGCGTGAAGAGGAAGAACGGCGACGAAGGAAGGAAGAGGAGGAAAGACGTCTGTGAGTCTTTTAAGTTGCTGCGTATAGAATGAGAAGAAAGTAGGAAAAGCATGTTAATGAGGTCATTTTTAATACTCCCATGCTTGAAAACAGTCACTTGGATTGTACTCCGGGAGTGCTATGCAGTGTTAAAACATTTCCTTTCCCAGTGATTTATATGGTAAGGGTAGTCAGAATAGAGTATTCAAGAAATTACATGATGCAGCTGGACTTGGAAAGTTTCCTGACTTTACATGTAGTGGCCTGTCATCAGGACTATACTGACTTCTGGATCACCATTCAGTTTTGTGGAAGATACTTTTGTATCTCTCAGAATCGTAGAATCATAGAATAGTTTAGGTTGGAAGGGACCTTAAAGACCATCTAGTTCCAACCCCCCTGCCATGGGCAGGGACACCTTCCACTAGAGGTTCTTTTGTTTGCTTGTATCATAATAACATGTTTTCATTTTCTCCTTCTTTTTTATAATAGGAAATCTGAGATTGAGGCAAAGAGAAAGCAGGAAGAGGAAGAAAGGAAAAAGAGGGAAGAGGAAGAAAAGCGTATTCAGGTTAATGTTTCAGCTATATGGGGAATTTTTGGCTGTTTTTTTGTTATTGTTGGGTTTGGAGTGTGGTTTATTTTTTGAAAACTTTTTTCAAAGCTTAGTTTCTCCACTGAGTCTTAATGTCTTCATTTTATAAATGAATGTCTCACTAAGTCAGAAACCGTGATTAGGGCATCCCAAGACAGATCACCTATTTCTAGTCTACATGCAAGTTCAGGTCTTCTGACTAGGTGCATTTGTTTTTAAAAGGTTTTTAAAGTTATTTTAAAGTTAAAAACATACAACACTGTAGAGCCCTAGTTTAGCCTTTGAAGTTTTTGCAGATGTTCCATGTCAGGCCAGTTTGGCACTCTTTTAGTAGGTCACATCTGGACTCAGCCTGTGTCATGTACCAGCTTAGTTGTAAACACTTTCAGAATATTGGTAATAATGAGACGATACAGGACTGTCTGTAGTAACCCTTTTGACAACACTCATGTAGAATAAATACATGCTGTTCAAACCCTACTCTCCCACCCCTTTCCCCTTGATTCCTGACACTTCTTACTGATCCCATCATGAACTCTCACTCTTAGGCCCTTATACCCTTGTTTTGCTCTTGTCTCATAGGTTGCCTGGAGGCAAAAAGCTTCTCTGTAGGGCAGTTGTAGCAAGCACAGAGCCATAGCCACTGATATTTACAGACTCTTAAGCCCTGCCCATGATTAATGAGAAGCAGAATTTTTCTCCTGTATCTTGTTATCCCTGGAGTTAGCCTAGCATTGCTTATCCTCCTTGTGTCTGCATACTCATTTCTATCACCTCATCCTCGTTCTAAACAAGACACTGGAACTAACAGAGAAAATATAGCCTAACGATGAAAAATGAATCCTTCCTCTGTGATTGGGTCTGGCACCTGTATCAGAATAGTAAGTGCTACCAGCTTGCAGAAGTTAAACATAAAAAGGCTAAGCTGCTAGTCTCTAAATCATTGCTTGCATATCATTGCTTGGAGATCATTGCAGATGTACCTAGTGTTTTGTGAGAAACTCATAGGATAATTTCCCATTCAGGGACAGTTTAAATGGGCTAAACTTTGTTCACTGAGGATGCAAGATGGCCTGTTAGCAGAAGGGTTAAAAACTTAGTCTGGGAGCACTATGAGCATCTCTAGAGATTGTCTTTATGTTTCTGTGTTTCTGAGATGTAGATACCTGCAATGCAGAACATAATTTAAACTTTTACTTAGAAATACTGCATTCGTATCCAAGCAGGTACGTAATCCAGTAGAGTGTTTCTTTCTAACACATATCGTTAATTATTCATTATCTTCATAACCACTCCTTCTGGTAGTTGCTACTATCAGCTAATCTAAAATGGGATTCATAGTGTAAAGTCACTGGTGTTGCTGCACTGCTTTAGTAGTGCAAACTCACGATGATGAGTGGGAATTGACTTTGCCTCCTTTGTTGACTTTGGCACACCAAGAAAGGCACTCCTCAGACTTGGCATGTATGACTTATAGAAGTATAAATTGGATGGTCACATTTTGCTTACTGTGTATGCAAGGCCCTTTGTTAAATAATGATGGTAAACTGGAATTACAGTTTTGCGCTGCAGAGGCACTATATCTGGATTACTCCTGCATTGTAGCAGGTTGGAATTTTACTATTTGCTTAAATTCAAAGCCAGATCAGGTCCACAGAGGGTTCCAGTGTTTAGTTTCATCCCTTTTCAAAATGAACCATGGGCCTATAGGCAAAGCAATGCCCATGGCAAAGTCCTGTAATGCCAAGTCTAAAATCCAAGAATGGTTTGGGTTGGAAGGGACTTTAAGACCATGTAATTCCAACCCCCCTGCCATGGGCAGGGACACCTTCCACTAGACCAGGTTGCTCAAAGCCTCATCCAGCCTGGCCTTGAACACTTCCAGGCATAGGGCATTCACAGCTTCTCTGGGCATATCAAGGGAGGATTGTGTTATTTCTGTGGAGTAACCATATTGCTCTATCATCTGAGTTTTAAAGACTGTAAAAACTTTTGAAGTCTGATTTTCATAATAGCCGACTAAAAGCTTCATGTGGGTTTTAAATAAGGAATGGCTGATTAGCACTTTAATTTGAAAAGGTAATACAAGTGGTGGATGATCACGATTTCATAAGCTATATGAAAACCAAAATGCAATCTGTAGCTCTTCTGTTTTTCTTAAACTAAATGCTAATGCTGTTACTTTTTCAGGTCTGTAAATTTTTCATGTTTTGAAAGCTATAAATATACTGCTTGGCATATCCTTTGCTTATGTAGCATTTTGGTTTTGATGGGATAAGGTTAAAGGTGTGGTTTTTCTATACAACAGGCTGAAATTGAGGCTCAGCTAGCTAGAGAACGAGAAGAGGAAACCCAGCACCAGGCAGTGCTTGAACAGGAACGTCGTGATCGTGAACTTGCAATGAGAATTGCCCAGAGTGAGGCAGAACTCATCAGTGATGAGGCTCAGCTTGATTTAGGATTGCGCAGGTATGGGGTTAAGTAATTGAATGTCTCTATCTTCCCACCCCATCTTCTTCTTATGCTGATCCCTTTGAGAAGACTACACTCTTGTTGGTTTAGTCTATTTTTATATTAATTAAATGAACCTTTTAAGTCAGATTATTGGAATATTTTTCAAATTAACTCGTGAAATTTGTGAGAAGTAGATTGCCTTTGCTTTAACACTTTCTCCATTTTGTGTCTTGGTATATCAGTAATTTAGTAGGTGCTTGTGGTTATGACTTCAGTCCTCTTTCTCTTTTTGAGTTCTGGCAAGGATGGCAGCCAATTTAAATTATCATTTTGTGACTTATTTAAAATAGCAAATGTAATATCTTCAGTAGTAGGTAGTAATAAAATATAGCCTTTCTGGCACTTGATGCTTCCAGTAGTATTGTGTGAATCTGTGTGTGTTTGTTTTTTAACAAGAAGCCCTGTTTCAGTGCACACATAGCAGTTACTTCTGTGTCCTGACTGGTAGGTTTTTTTAAGTGGAATGAATATATTTAATATAGGTGGGTTTGGAAATTAAATGTTGTCTTAAACATTTTGTTTGATATGTCAAAAGTAATGCTTGGCTTTTGGTATACCGATCCACACTGCCGGCAGAGCAAGAGCTCGTCATGTGTAAGGGGTGATGCCTTAGAAGGAACTTCACAGTTCCAGTAAAAATGGTACTTACTCGTCAAATTGCATAAAGGGACCTGTGAGGATGATCATGTCATTGTTAACTTCATTAGTGCTGGTCTACTCAGTTGTTGTTGAAAGAAGTGCCATAAGAAAATCCCAAGTGTTTCCATGGAATTTCAAGCTCCCAGACATCTTCTCTTTGCTACTCAAGTTTTAACTGGATGAATACTTTTAAAAAAATGATTATATAACTATGTGAGATGGATAGGTGATATTTTTTGTCATGTATAGTACTGATTTTTAGACATTACTTCTGAAATTCATCCTGCTGAAATTACTGTGCTTTTGTGCTCAGTTACACAGCAGCTGTTATATTGTCTCAGATCAGATTTTATCATGCTCAGTTGGATCTCCAGGTGCCTCACAGGCAGCATTCTGGAGATGTCCATGCTTCCCTTGTTTGGATTTTGATGCAATACTTTGTAGGTAAACCGAAAGTCACTCTGGTGTTGCAGCCTGGCAGACTTCTCTTAAATATAAAGGAAAGGAGGCATTTAGACAAGAAGAGCTCAGAGAATTCAGTAACTTTTTTGTCAGTGAAGCTCTAATCTCCACAGGTTTACTTTCTGCTCCTGGGTGATCCTGGTGTCTGTCTTCCTTGTGTAATCCCTGAATGGGTGATGTACTAACCATCCTGGTAGTTATGAGAGCCAGTTTCTCTCTGCTGTGTTGCTAGTGGTATGAGAATGAAGACTTGCTTCTGGATGATTGGAAAGTGCAGAATAATCTGAAGAAGTTAAAATGCAGACGTAAATCCTTTCTTGAACAAGATAATATATAAATCTAGAAAAAAGTAGTAGAGAGATTTTTCTGCTTATATAGCATTTCTTTTTAGCTCATTAGCATTTTTTCCCCTGCTTCTGCAGTCTACTTCAAAGAGTTTTAAGCATGTCCAAAAATTGAAGAAAATTTTTTAACTTCACCTATTTTTTTTGTTTTGTTCAAAATCAAACTAAAACCTTCCCCAGACCCCAGTATCTTCTACTGAAACTCAAGGGTAGATTTCCATGTAGCTGCCAGAATCGTCTTAAAAGGTAGAAACTGTGGGAATTCTTCTCCGAAATGAAACCTGTTCATTGGTTTGAACAAAACATGTAACTTAATAGTTTAAAGCTGAATTCTCAGCACTTATTTTATCTGATATCAATTAAAATTTTACTAGAGTCTAAGGAATTTACATTCTGCCATCTTCTGGATTAGAGAGTTGCATATGATAAACGGAAATGTATCGCCCCACACTGAATTCATGCGGTATAGTGGTTCTACAGTGTTTTCACAAAATTTTGTAAAAAATTGTTTCATGCTTACATGTTGGCTTGAATAAAAGGGTATATTCCATTGTGTTGTACCACCTGTGGAGTGAAAGTAATAAGAACAAGGTGATTTTAATGTGCCACTTTGAAGGAACTCTTGTATTTTGCTAATTTTTAAGGGATGTGATACTTAAGTGTTGTCATATTTGACAATGAGTAGCCTCTATTTCATTTCTTTTCTCCTCAGTACGTTCCTGCATTCTCCATTAGTTTTCATAGATATTTAAAGATTCATAAATATTAGTAGTTTCTTTGAGAAATATACTCGTTGGCTCCTGTCAAAGAAGAGAAGTTGCTTGTGTTGGCAGTAGATCCAGCATTTTTGTTTGTGCTTATTCTGTGCTGGACCTCTCCTAGCTTCATCCAGTTTTATTTTTTCATCCAGTTTTATTGCCCATCCACAATTTGAAAACTTGTAATAAGGGATTTACTGCACCTTAGGGTAAATTAACTTAGCACTTCAGTAAATAATTAGCTACCTGTTTTCAACTGTGCAATGTTTTTAATTTATGTGCCTTATTGAAATATAGTATGACATTTAGCACCAAAACAAGCTAGCCTCAGGGAAGGTGGTGTGAGTATCTCGGTTTGGTGTGTTGGGGTTGGAGCATTCCAAGTAAGTTCTGTTTCGTAGCATACTCTGTGCTCTGTGTGTGGGTCTTCAGTGTGTCAGTTAGAATCAGTGGCCTTTCACAACTTGCACCTAAAAGCTATCTCTACTGTTCCCAGAGTAGCTGCATGAGGATTGCTGTTCTTTCTTGTAATAAGCTTATCCAGGCATAAAATATGTCAGTAACACATCTCAAAATTGTTGAGTTTGAAAGAAGTGGTAAGTAATGTGGAGAAAGCGTGGAGGAAGCTTTCACTTGTACAATTTTTCCAGGTTATCTCAATTTAACTTTTTAAAAATAACATAACACTCATGATTGAATGAGAAAGATGAAGAAAAAAGGTCTATATAATCCTGTTTCTTAGTTAAAAAAAGAAGATGTGAGAGAGGAGGAATTAAAGACCCACCTTTTCCCAATTCACATGATTAGAAATGTAACTAGGAGTTAGTCTATCTAACATAAATATCTTCTGTTTGCAGAGCCAATGGAACAAAGCTGCAAATGACTGCGTATGGCATTTTTTTTCCATTTGAATGCTCTAATAGAAAGAAAAATAACACTAATTCATTCAAAATAGATTGTTATTGTCCTCATATTTACTAATACCCCACAATAATCTTTATTAGTGTGCATCTGTAAACTTTAAATCAGTTTGTAATACTGTATATCCTCTACTTTGCTTATGTCTGATAAACAGGTTAATAATCTAATATACCTAATAATATCTATTTAAAGATGATTATATAATCAGTGTAAAGTTTTTCACATACCTTCCAATTTTCACTGCCCTGTGTGATTTATTGCTCTTCAGAAAATCAGAACTGTATGTATTAAAATGGAAATTATTTAAAACAAGTAGCCATTTTTTTGTGCCTTTTGAATTAGCTTCAGTTTGGTTGGCAAGAGACTTACCACAGTTATAAAGGCTGGTTTATATTAATACGTTTGGTTTATGCTTACTTATCGATTTTCTTATAGGGAACAAATGGCCACAGAAATGTCAGAAATACTGTCTAGGTAGGTGAGAAGACAACACCAAATGAATCAATCATTTTATAAAAAGAAATCACACATGAAATGGGTTGAATTATTACGGAATGAAAAATGATGGAATCTGGGGTTGGTGGTGGGTTTTTTGGGGTTTTTTTTGTGCTGAGCAGATAAGTAAATTATTTCTTTAAGATGAATTTCCTTTATCACACTTTTTCAGCTGTTTTTTTTCCCTATTATAATTGATTATATATAAAAAATAGTTCACATATCCTGGTATTTTGTGTAATTTTGATAATGTTCCCCAGCTTTCCTCTCTTTTCATCTTTCTTATACTGATAATAGGAAACTAAGCTCCACATCTTTTGAAGGGGGGTTTCTATAGATTCAGCACAGAGTTAATGAGGTTATTTAATGTTAACGTAACTGTTAGTGTTCTTAATAAGAAACTTCTAGTTACAATTTCCTTCAAATACAAGCAGTTTTGAAAATTACCATGTTAAAAGCATAATAAAACCCCTCTTAAGACATGTAAACAAAATCCCCTTCTGAGGTTACTTGAATGCTAATGCAAGGTTTTACGCACAGGGCAGGACAAAAGGAGAATTCAGGTTGAGATCTGAATACAGTTCTACTGTAACCAGCTCATACTAGTTTGTGTCAGAATACTAATTCTCTGTTGAAAAAAACGTTCTCCATATCCATGAGTAATTAAAAAAGTGGTTTGTGCACCGTGAGGACAAAAACAACCTCCTGGAACTTAGATAAGAAGAGAAATTGCTTAGAGTTTTAAAAAAAGTGAATCTGTTGTTAAACAAGATACTCTGCTCCATATATATAGTCTGAAGATGATCTGTCTCGCATGATTGATGTTTTCTCTAGTTGTAGCATTGATAATTAAGAATGCAGCTGTTAACTAGGTTTGGTTTTTGCAGTGGCATGTTAAGAATAGGGATAAACATAGTTGTGTGTAATTAAGTTAACTTGTGAATTTGGATGGCTAGGCTGTTCTGCATATATTGACGTCGTTCCAGTGATGATGGCCAATTCTTAATGTGCAAAAAAGTCACAGAACTGTGGGGCAAAAATCAGAAGCTCTGTGTTTAGGTTGAATTCAAAATGCAATACTACTTACTGCAGGCTTCTTTAACTGATTTTTATTTTTTTTCACTTCTCGTATACTGGAAACTTTTGACTAGACACTGATTTTTTTTTTTTTTTAAAGTCTGAAAATACTGTTTATGATACATAACTGTCAGATTGAGTGGTGAAGACTGATTCTCAAGTATGAGACTTTTCTTACTGCCAGACTGTTATGCTTAAAGTCATGTAGAAAATAAGAGAGTGATCTGCAGAGTAGTGCTGTAATGGAAAGGCTAAGCCATTCAATTGGATTAGCATTCTTAAAGATTACTAGTTTAACGAGAGATTTTACAGCCTAGTTCTGCTGCTCTAAATTGTGTAGCAAACTCTTAGAGTGGTGGGTAGTGTTGCTAAATAAGGAAAATCCTTAGGATTTGTCAAATTACGTTCAAGAAGTTTAGACGCTGGGCAGCGGAAATTACTTTCAGCAGCAATCCTTTAATGTCCTACTGGTATGCCAATAAAACAAACCATTAAAATATATATTTTGAAGGAGACACTGTCTAATGATTTCTTTTACACTTACGAGTAGTGCTAAGGGTGAGGAGAAGTTCCTGTCCCTCAGCTATTTACTGATGAAAAGTCAGAGGTAATTTTTTATGTCAGGCTTCTCACATACCATAACTGGAAGCTGTGTGTTGGCTCAGATTAGTAGTATGAGTAGCCATCATTAAGGTGATGCTGCAATAAACAGTAAGGTTCTGCAGTTTTAATTACGTTTGAAGAGATGGCTCAGTTGCATTAAGAAGAGCATTTGGTTAAACAGATTGCTTTATTCCATGAAACAGAAGTAAATTGCCTTTGTTATCTCTGCTTTCAGAACTGCTTTATCTACATAGAAAAGTTTTTCACAGAAAATGTATTTATAACCTATTAAACAAAACAGGAAAAATAAACAACATAAAGTATCATAGTCCCATGTGAGACCTTTATAGAAAAATAAACTTTAAAATAATAGTCACTGGATTATAAATACTGTAATGATGTAACAGTCCCACGAAGATACTGCTGACAGACTTTCACTGAAAAAGCCCGCTTTCTTCTTCTGTTTTTCTCTCCTGTGTGTTTCTAATGTGACATGTTGCATCAAGTATTTTGCTACCCTGTTAGAGTTCTAGTTTCTTCTGAACAAATCCTCTCAGATCCCGAAAGATAATTCAGTTTGCCTCATGTTGTCAGTTATGGGCATTAGCAGAGGTTGGTAAAATCACATGTTGTCTGTTCTTCAGTTCATTGGTGTATAGAAAATATTCTGTTCGTCACTGAATGTTGGAGTATTTTCAACTCAGTTTATATCCAGATAATCCACGGGAAGTTTGCCGTTCCTAAGGGAGAGTTCTTACACTGGTTTTAAGAAAAGAAAAAAAAAAAAGAGAGAAAGTATTGTTTTCAGGTTTGTCTTGTGATGTTTTTGTTTCATGGGTAAACATACATACTGTTAAAGCTGAGATTTTAGTAAAAATTTCTCACTTGCATTTGCTGTTGCATACTACCTGCTTGACAAATACCATTAGCCTTTAAAAAACACTGTTTCTGGATGAGTCATCTTACAGTGGTCAGCCTTTCTTCTGAGAGTGGTCTTTTTTTCCTTGCTATGTCTTAATGATTTCCCTCCCCTCTCTGGAATAAATATTGCTGTTCATGGACAGCTACTTTACAAATAATACAGGATTAATTTGATTTCTTCTCTCAAATTAGACTTTTGTCAAAGGTGTGGAATATTTTCTGTAGTCCTGGAACAAGGATTTTGTCCAAATCCAGTTTTAAACAGCAGAGGAAATACTTCTTCTCACTTCTCCTTGTCTGCTGCAGAAATCTTTTTCCTCAGATGTTTTTCAAATGTAACTAAAAATGTATGGCCACTCTTTGTTATCTGTATTCTGCATCTTGACTAGTACCAGGAAAAATGTACATCAGCATGGGGTGAGGTACACATAAATAGAACATGCATCTTTTCACCCCTAAGCCTAGCTGTCAGTGACAATTCCTTTCCGTCTCTAGGCAGCTGATCAGGTGAGTGTATGATTTTGGAGATGAAAGATGCTTTCACTTTTTCCAAATCATTTGAACATCTTGAAAATAATATGGTATTTTGCCTTTGAATTCAGCCCCTCTGCTGCTGATTTTCACTGTAATAAGCATGCTGCTGTGTTGATCGTGAGATCTGTTCCTCCTATTGTAACAACTCCTGTTTCATACTTAAAAAAATAGCTATATATATATATCTTTAATAATTGTAGGAGTCCTTCAGTTCAAGCCACGAAAGCTGCTGCTGGTACTAAGAAGCATGATCTCAGTAAGTGGAAGTATGCAGAACTTCGCGATACAATCAATACATCCTGTGGTAAGTTGTTCTTTTTTTCTGATTTGAGAAAGAAGTAAAGCTGTAGTAGTATGAAAAGTGTTACTTTCTTCCGGTGACAAAGGTAAAAATTTGCTCATGAATTTATTCAGGGTTAAATGAATGTCAGATTAATTTTTAAAAGGTTCTATTACCCCAAAGAGAACAGCAAAGTAAGCTATTTCCATACTGAGGGAACACAGTTTCTGCTGTTGACTGATTATATATTTATGACGTTAAACAGCTTGGACCATAAAATACATGTCATAGGTTCTTAATTAAATTGTCTCAGTTTTATGTATTTCCACAATGGAAATAATACTTACTGTGCTTTACCTAGAATTTGCATTCTAAGAACTCTTTTGCTATCACTTCCGGCTGTCAGCCAATCAGAAAAAAGCAAATATGTCATGTAAAGCACAGTGTAAAACATTTTCTGTCTTAGATGTTCACATTATTCTTTAATTTTGAAAATGTGTAACTTCATTTGGGAAGCTCACACTTGTGACATGAATTGCTTTTCCCTCAGTGTTATGAAAATAGAACCAGATAAGAATTATCACTTTATTAAATATTACTGTTTCTTCCTGCTTCTGACTGAAAGCAGTTAGTTAATTTATGAGTTTAAGATAATTCAGAATTTCTCCCTGCATGTAGAAATTGGAAACAAACCCATTCTCTCTATTTGTATTTAAAACCCAAAGTTAGCTCCAAATCCTCACTGTGTCTCTATTGTTTTTACCTCCACAAGACTGGAGGAATGTTTTCAGCAGAACAGGTGGTGCAGTGATACATGGTGCTAATGTATGTTCATCCCTGGTGAAGCCAGTTTGGATACTTGTAGGTGACTAATGAGAAAGCCTTGCAATCATTCAGTCTCTCAGTATCATGAAATTCAGTAGAATTAATATGTAGTTAATAAAGGGAAAAAAGAACCTAGATCTGAGCAGTCAAATATCTGATTTTTTCACTTGTGGAAAAAAAGTTCAGCAGTGAAATTTAATCTGTTTCTGTACTGCTTGGCTTGGGATAATGTCAACAAACAAATTTAGCAAAGTGAAAATTTAATTTGTAGCATTTCACTGTGTCAAATCTTGCAGCAGAATAGCCACTTTGGGGATTGCTATTCCTCTGAAGGAGAAAAACTTTCTGAGCAATAAAATACAGGCCCTGTTGCTGCGAAGAATGGGATCAGATCATGTCATATCATGTCATCTTGTGTTGTATTATATTATCTTGTGTTACAATGTGATCTGGAATTATTTACCTACCAATTTAGACAAGACTTTAGTAAATAATTTTTATTATTTTTCTCACCCATCCCTTCCTTCCGCATTTTTGAGACAGATATTGAACTGTTGGCAGCTTGCAGAGAAGAGTTTCACAGAAGGCTAAAGGTGTATCATGCTTGGAAATCCAAGAATAAGAAACGGAACGCGGAAGCAGAACAGCGTGCTCCCAAATCAGTCACAGACTATGGTGAGGAGACATAACCTTGTGTTGACAATTGTGGTGACAGTATTCTAAAGAAAACATTTCTAGAATGAATTTTGATTTTGCTAGGTTGAAGGAAATTCTTGAGGTTTTTTAGAGTATTTTTATATTGATTAAAGGTAAATATTTTGAAAAGATTGGAACTGGCAAATACTTTGCAGAAGGTAGAATACTTTGAGGAGACCCAGATGACATGTACTGAATAGCTCTCCCTAAATCTTGTTCTCATACCAATTCACATCTGTTTAAAAATGATGGTTGGTTCAGTGTTGCGGTTGCTGGCATTTTTGCTAAATGTGCCTTGTTGTGCTACTTAAGCCTAAGGATGACAATTTTCAGTTCTTAAAACTGTGGTTTGCCTTTTGAGACTTTTGAAACTTTGTTTTTAAGGTTGCTCATACTAGTTTTGACCTCTGTAATTAGAACAGTTGCTTTCTGAGAGTAGTCAGTGATAGTTCAGCGCAGAGAATTATACCTGGGATAGAACAGAGATTCTAAGGATAGGTCGACTGTTCCAGAACTATCAGAGTCGCGTATGATTTTTTTGGTGCTATAAACAAGATCAGGCAGAATTGTGCTCTGTTAGGTAATACACCATTATATTTAGGGTCCAGACAAAACAAGTGTTGATGATAAGAGGGGTTTTTTCCTCATGCTTTTATCCTTTCTTAAGATACAGATAAATAGACAAGAGATGTAGATGCTCTTAAAAGGTGCTAATCATTTCCTTTTCACGTTACTGTTTCAGGTTACATTCTTTTTTTAAAAATTCTATGAGTGTTGATATTGCAGTTTTTGATTATGGGACGACAAGTTCTGCATAGTCCCTACTTTCTCATTAAACTGTCATTCCGCTGATTTCACAGATGAGTATTTATTGTCAAAGCAGTGCACTGATGAGAACAGGTGATTGCCTTTGAAATTCAATAACAAGGTGCGGGAGTTCCTGTGTCTAACACTGCTGGACATGAAAATTAGGTGCTCGGTTTCTGGAGTGATATTTACAGAATGGATTGTTACTCTTCCCCTCTCTCCTCAAGTCCAGCTATATATGTTATAAAGGGAATCTAAGATATGGACAGAATTCCAGGAAATTGATATAATAATTTGGTCAGATCTTTCCTGCTGTCTTCTGGTTCTAGGACACTGGGGATACAGGTGCCCTACTTAGTCTCAGTGATAATCCTTACACAAAGGTGTCTCCTTCTCCCTGGTTCATTTACTGAGTTAGACATTGCTTGAGCATTACCAGAGAATGAGCTTTTCAGGGAACTTTGGTACAGTTATATGGCAGGTGAAGTCTTGGACCCCTGGAAAAGGTATTCTCCAAGAACAGGTCCTTGTGGCCATGCCTAGTAGTGTGGGTTTGAGTGCTTAAGAAAGCTCATGACAGAAACAGCAGGAAAAGGAATTTGAAGCACTTCAGCAAAGTGGTAAGTTTTGCTCTTGAGCTCGCAAATTCTGTCTGGAGCTAAATGAGTAAAATAAATATTCATGCACAGTATTGCTGATGGGAAGTATCAAAGAGCAGAAAACCTTTGGATTTGTGCAAATAAAGCTTGGAATATTCATGATCCCATCACATTTAGTTAGACCTGTAGAGCATTCTTTTCAGTGCTTTTTTTCATTGCGGTTTTTTACTTTTCTGGACACATGGCTTCGTATTTCTGAAGAAAAGCGAGAATGTTGCAGTTCAGAAGAAAGTCATTGGTAGTGGCCTTGAGAGACTCCTCTTAATGTCAGAAGTAATTCTCTCTAGTGCAAATACTTACACTACATGGGCATTTCATGTCTATGTATTGTAATGATCCGAGAAGGCAGTAAGAGCAACTCTGATTTCTTAGATGTTTAAGCCGAAAGTCTTCTGGGTGTCAGTGGATGTGTGCTTCAAATGATGTAGCTTATTCTTTCCATCTTTTTACTGGTGTGATATAATTTTACAGGTATCCTTTAATTAAAATTTGTACATTCAGTATAGAAGCTAAACACTGGTTTGTGTATTATTATTGGACTTGGCAGATTTGTTATTAGTAGGGGTCTGGAAATTTTTTTCCCAGCAGAAATGTCAAAACTTAAAAATACTGCAGGAATTAATTAACAGATTTCTTACAGCAATCTGTGTGTAGCAAGTACACAACTGAGATTTTGTAACAGGCATCGCAAATCATTGAAGTAATCGATTGCAAAATTAAATCCTGATGAAAGTAGAAGCAGTTGGAAATCTATGAAACCAGAGGAAAGGAGACATTCTATATATGTCAGTGAGCAGATGATGAATAGAAACACTTAGCTCAGCGTCTGTGTTTATTTTGTAACTAGGATTTCCATTTGTCTGTCATCAGCACTGGTGAAAAATACTGAGGTAATGAAACTATAACTTGTACTGGAGCAGCACTTTTATGTTTTGTTCAATGTGTAATATTTGTTCACAGATTTTGCACCATTTTTGAGCAACTCACGTAAGTGGGGAGATGGTTATTTAAGCTAACTTTAAAGAATAGGAACACTTGAGAGCGCTGTACTAACAGTAATTAATCCAGGGTTTTGCTACACGTGTACCTAGGATTTAATTGATCAAAAAAAATGTCTCTTTTACAATTTGGCAATGTTATTCAACTGATGGGAATTACATGTTACTGTAGTAATTTAGGAATGTAATTTACTGCTTATCTTCATGAGATCCTGCCTATTTGAGCAGTTATGGGAAGGGGATGAAATAACCTTTTGATGCAGATTATTTCAAGGTATAATCTCCTTCTTCGACAGCCCCCCTCCCCCCCTTTTTTTTTACACACACAGAGAAATATCATGCTTGTTCTAACATTTTTTACTGTCTGAACATGGCGTTTTATTGTAGCAAAACTCTGGAATCAACTTAATGTAACAACTGTTTTCCTAGCACACCAACTAACATTGAGGTGATGGTTTCTTTCGAGTCAAGAACTACAGTTCCATAGCACTGAAAAGTAGAGGCTGTACTGTCCACTTAGTGTTCCTGTGCTGTAGATTTCCTCTTGGATTTAGGTATGCATAGGGGTGGAAATAAGCCTTAGCTAGTGCCACTGCAGTGCAAAAAGTGTTTTGACAAAGCTAAAGTACTCGTCTGCTGTGATAGATATTTAGACAAGTTGCAGAAAACTGAATTTCCTATAAACTGTAGACTATCTCTCCCTGTAAAATACATACTTTATCAGAGCTGATGTATAAAATACATATAGCATTCACCTACTAAAATCTGTTTTGTTTTTCTTCTCTTTGTTTATATAGACATGGAAAAAAAATTGTGGGGTATGATTTGTATAGTACATATATATATACACACATACATATTTTTTTAAAGATTCTGTTCTTTACATTTATCATAGAATCACAGAATGGTTTGGGTTGGAAGGGACCTTAAAGACCATCTAGTTCCAACCCCCCTGCCATGGGCAGGGACACCTTCCACTAGAAACGATTTAGAATTCTAAATTCTATTTAGAAAAAATATTTTTGCTTGAATCTAGGTGCACTTACTAATCTTGTCAATAACTGAAAATACATTATTATAAGTGATGGGCATTTTTCATTTTATCAAATTTCAGATCAAAAATTAGTTTTGCTACTTCACAGACAATGGACAAAGAAGAAATTCACTTTTAATTATTCCCTTTATGCTGAAACACGGAACTGTTACTAATGATTTGCTTTAATAGAGGTGGCATAGAGTCACATTCAGGATTTCTTAAACAGGGTGTTTGTAACAATGCTATTGTAAACCGCTAAAATGAGATCAGTAACAAACTTTTGCAGGAGGCAGGCACTGAAGGAAAGGAACTTTCTTTGTAAGAGCATTTACTGTTTAAAACTGCTTCTGATGGTGTATGCCTAACGTTAAGAAGGTTGATCAGTTGCTGAGTTAACACAGGGAGTATTTGCTTTCGTTCAAAGAAAGTTTCTCTCCGAAGTTGGAAATGTGTGGGACTCGAAGGGATTCCAAAAATGCCTGTGAGAAATATTGACCAAAAGTATAAATGAAGCTTTAAGAGATTTCGTACAACTTTCTCTGCCAGAAGTTTTGTCTGGTGATCTTAATGGTCTGAAATAAACAATTTCTTTTAGAAAGAAAGCAGCCGGAGAGTAGTTCTAAGGCTGCAGTGTAGTACACAGAAATCTAGGCAGAATGTGTGGTGGCAGTTTGGTAATGAGCGGTACTTGTTGTCCACATTTCTGTTAACAAACCGGTCATTTCTAACAGCATTACACACCCTGTTAACGTTGGCTGTCAACAACCTTCAGGTGGTGCTTTGTATTTTTGTGACTGAAAATGCTTCTTTGCACTGTGACCTTGTTTTGCAAAGAGATGGACTGAGCTCCAGCACTTACTGATTCATGTTTCTGGTTGGTAAGAAATTTTACCTGGGAAGTTTACCTTAAATATCGATATAAAGCAGAGTGGGTTATTTTACTCACTTTGTTTTGTCTAAGCGTACCTAAAGAGCAACATGAGCCTTTCCTCACCGGCGTTGTAGGTGTAGTGATGAAAAGAATGCACATTATTTGGGATGGCAATACTTTTTCAGGTTTCATGAGACTTCAGATGACCTTGTATTCCCAGAGAATCTCTCAGGTTCTGTGGGATTGGTTTGTTTTGGGGGTTTGGTTGGTTGGTTTTTACTTTGCCGATTAATCAAACAGGTCATAACACGGCTTTCTTGTTTTCTGTTTTTGTGTTTGCTTGTATTTGGGGTTATTTTTGGTCTGATAGCTCAACAGAACCCAACGACCCAGCTACCAGCCAGACAGCAAGAGATTGAAATAAACAGGCAGCAGCGTTATTTCCGCATTCCCTTCATCCGGCCTGCGGACCAATACAAAGATCCCCAGAACAAGAAGAAGGGTTGGTGGTACGCACATTTTGATGGGCCGTGGATTGCTCGGCAGATGGAGCTTCATCCTGACAAGGCACCCATTCTCCTTGTGGCAGGTTGGTACTGACGACAAAATTCAAATGTTGAAAAGGTTCAGCCTTGATAACTTACTGTAGAAAAAGAGGATGAGGATACAAGTTTCCAGACTTGTACCATCTTTTTTTATCATCAGCAGTTCTTGTTTGGGCAGAAGTTGAAGATTTGGGACTGCTGTTGATGGTAGCGGTGTCACTGGTCACGTGTTTTGTGTCTACATGTACTTTAATGTGGGAGATCATAGAGTGGGAATCTAAATAGAAATGGTTTTATTAAGTGTCCACAGATTATTCACTAAGCTGGAGACAGCTGGGAAATTTTTCTGGGAAAGTTCTACTCATCGTTGTATTGGGAGTTAGCACAAAACCAATTTGTGCCTATGATACGTTGTCTTTTTGTAGTGTGCTGATAATAGCAAGCATACTTTTACCATATTTATGCTACCTACTATGGGAGAGTAGCTTTTTAATCTTAAACATTTGCAATAAAAGCTGAATGTGGGAGTGAATAGGCAGAGATTTATCTGGTAATGAAATGTATCCTCCTTTTCTGGAGGATAATGAAAGAGGGAGAATACACTGAAGAAATGCTGTTTACAGTTCTGAGTTTTTGTATTTAACTTGGGGACTGAGGAAAGGGCCATAACCAGTCTGTTAAGTTTCAAAATGATGTTCCTTGGTTTTCTGCTTATTATTTTGTCGTGGTTAACTCCAGCTAGCAA